GCTGGCAGCTGCACTGTTTGATGGATAACATTAGTGGCTCACTGAATGCATTTACCTTTTGCATGAAATTGCTTTTAATGACTGTGTATCAATAAGAATGTACATATGAGGATAGCTAGGTTAATAAGAAGCTAGGTTAATAAGAGGAATGTCTATTTCTTTCCTTACTAACTAGCATGCCCCTTATTTAACTTCTGTTCTGCTCTCATTTCTGTCTCCTGTCTCTAATGCTGTCCCTAATATTGACCCCTGACTGCTAGCTGTGGAGTTTTCCTTCCTGTAATGTGTGAACAGCCATATCCACTCATGCCGCCCCAACGCAAGGTAGGTTGCATGCTCATTTCATCTGTCTGATAACATATCAGGTGGTGCCATTGTATATTATGGTTGCTGAAATTTAATTAAAGTCATCGGTCATGTGGAGCAATGCTTTCATAAGGCAGAAGATCCTCAAACCATCTCTGAATTGGTGCTGACACTGTTCTTCCTTCTGGAGGGTGGCTACTTTTGTTCCCCATGGCCCCTGTGTTGTAAAGTAGCCACTGCTCCGAACTCAATCCCGTGATGGACTACAATCTCAATACAAATTATTAAAATAAACATGAGATTGTAGTCCATCATGGGAGTGAGCTTGGAGCAGTGGCTACTTTACAACACAGGCAGAGACCATGGGAAACAAAAGTATCCACCCTCCAGAAGGAAGGACAGTGTCCGCACCAATTCAGAGATGGTTTGAGGAGCTACAGCCGAGTTATACACAAATAAGGTACATTTTGTTAGGGAGCATTTTGGGCGGCAGGCGGTTCGGATCGTGTGGAGCCGCGCGATTGCATCAACGGTCCCCATAGGAATGTATGGGGTTGTCAATGTTGGCGGTTCAGGGCAGACAAATTTGCGCGACTGAATTGCCCTGGTGTGAACGGGGCCTTAATGTGTGGGGGTTAGTATTAGGGATGTACCGATACTAGTATTAGTCTTCCCAGCCAATCGGCACGCAGCTGACCAAACAGCCGGTATCGGTGCATCCCTAATATGTACCATTTTTAAGAAAACATGAGTGAGCAGGCAAAACACATTTCTTTCATTTCTTGTGGGATTCATATTGAACTGTAGGCCATAACAGAATGACACAATCATAAAACAAAACATGTCAACAAATAAAAAAAATGAAATGACCCCTGTTCAAATGTCTGCATACCCTTAGTTCTTCATACTGTGTATTGCCCCCTTTAGCATCAATGAGAGTGTGAAGTCTTTTGTAATAGTTGACTATGAGGCCCCGAATTCTTACAGGTGGGATAGGTGCCCATTTGCCTTGGCAAAATGCCTCTAGGTCATGCAAAGTCTTTGGTCGTCTTGCTTGAACCGCACGTTTGAGATCTCCGCAGAGTGGCTCCATGATATTAAGGTCAGGAGATTGTGATGGCCATTCCAGAACTTTCACCTTTTTCTGCTGTAACCACTGGAGGGTCAACTTGGCCTTGTGCTTAGGGTCATTGTCGGGCTGGAAAGTCCAAGAGCATCCCATGCGCAGCTTTCATGCAGAATAATGCAAATAATCTGCCAGTATTTTCTGATAACATGCTGCATTAATCTTGCCATCAATTATTACAAGATTCCCCGTGCCTTTAGAGCTCACCCCCCCCCCCCCCCCCCCAAAACATCAGTGAGCCACCACTATGCTAAACAGTGGGGATGGCTTTATGCTTTGTTGACCCCTCTGCAAACAGTGCTTATGGTTGTGACCATAAAGCTTTATTTTGGTCTTGTCACTCCAAATTACAGTGTGCTATGAGGTGTGTCAAGGTGTTGTTGAGAATATTGCATGCTTTGTGCAATCATTTTTGCACGGGCACGTTGTATCAAGCTTCAGTTTTTTTTGTTTTGGCCGACAGAAAGCCGCCATAGAAGAGATCTTCCGGTGCGTAAATGCTTGTATCACATGTTTACAGGCATTTCCATTGAAGTCTACGGGGTGAAATTTATGCAACGCAGCTCCAGAAAATGCTCATGTTCCTTTTCTTGCTTCAAGCGACCGAGTGCAAGTGAATAAACAGATGCAAGAGAAAACAATGGGATTCTGATGGTGTGGTGTTGCGATTTAGGGAAATGCGCAAAACCATATGACAAAACACTGGGGTGTGAATGGGGGCTTAGAATGACATGTGAAGACATCATTAGCAGCCTTGTTATGTTCTTTTACTTCTGTCTATTTCTTTGTTCTACAGCTACAGTGTGCTTCTTTTGGCATTGTGGCTTGCATTAAGTATTGTGTAATAAGCTGACAAGTTCCTTCTTCTTCTTTTTTTTTCTTTTTTTTTTTTTTCTTGCTGTATCAAATATTTAGAAAAATATTCTTCAAAGCGAAAAACTGCTAAAATTAGTTGTTTATTACGTTTTTTAACCCTTTCGCTGCCAAGGACGTACGTCGTACGGAGCTACAAAAGTGCTTCCAGCTGGCCAGGTCAGTATGCCATACGGACCTGGCATTTACAGTTCTACTATAAGCTGATGGTCGCTTTAGCGACCATCAGCTTATAGTATAACTGTTCAGCAGACTGTCCCCTTTAAATTAATAGCTGTCATCAGCGGCTCACAAGCCGCTGATGACCGCTATTATCAAAAATACCGGTTTTAAATTGCATAAAATTCAAAAAGGGCTTGGCCAGCTGATTTGAAAAATGTTCCGGAGGGCTTGGCAGCGAAAGGGTTAAAGGCATGTTAAGAGCTTGTGTCCTGTTTGAACCCTCATTGTACCCCCTGGCTCTTCACCTTGCTTATAGGATTTATCAAAAGCAAGAGCAGAGTAACAGTGTAACTATCAAGCTCAGTATAAAGGCTCTTCAAAGAACATAAACTATTAAAATGCTCTGCACTATTCAGTAAATCAAAGCAATGCTTGTGTTCACTATGGGTCCACTGCTTGTAGGTACCATTGTGTATAAAATGCATGGAGGAAACAGTTGGGGAAGAATCATCTTCTATGATTTAAGCTTTGATGGAATTTTTTAAAACAGAGCTTATAATCTCTTAAAAAACTACTATTGCCTTGCCTTATGTGGTACCTAGGCCATCTTCTCCTCATTCACCCAAATTGTAGACAGTTTAAAAAGCAAGATAAGGATAAGTGTCAGGAAAAAAAAATGAGGATTTATGTTCAGTCCTAAAAACAATGAATATCCCCTAATATTATCTAAGCAATGTGCCATTGCTTCCAGTAGGGAGAGATCTGACTTGCTTTCAGGGGAGCTGGAAGAAGATCACTTCAAATCTATGAATTAGGTACTGTGATGGCTTATGAATTAGTAGATTTTAGCCTGGAATGTCATACCCACCTTCCAGAAGATCACACCTAGGCAGTCTTCTCTCTTCCCTATGTATTGACATTGAATAGGCAGTGAAGTTGATGATATTCAAAAAGAAGTACTTTTAACAGTTCCCCTTGCACAATAAATATGAAGATATTATGCTTCAATTGTTTTCGTTTTTAAGCTGAATGAAATTTACAGGACCATCATAAAGCTGAAGCCTCTCATTTTTAAAATACAAGAATTCAAGATGCAACCCTTAATCTCTGCTGTCAGTTACCAAAATGTATTCTAAATACAACTCCGAATTTAAAGGCTGCATATTATCAATTTCGTACACCCCATGTCTCAAATATTGTGGATTCCAGTTTTTCTGGGGAAATATCTCATCCATCTGCGATTCCTGGCCCTCTTGTATCTCAAGTTTCAAAGTTTTTCACCAAGCTGATGTCAAGAGTGGCAGACTACTTGAGGTAAAAGGAGATCCTAGTAGTTTCATCCTTGGAGGGCATAGTCCTAACTGCAACACCCAAGGCTTGTCTGGAAGCCCACAGTGCCCAGGAATGTGACCTCTTAATTTTCTAGGTTGGATTATTAACTGTAAATAAAATCCAATCGTTCTCTTTACAGAGTGTTTTTGCACATCTTTCTGGATTCAGAATAAGAGATGTCTTTTTTGCCCACTAAAAATATAGGGCCAACTGTAATCTTCAAGGATTTGACCTTCATTTAGAATGACCGAGTATTCTTTAGAGAAGCTATGACAATCTTGGGATTTATGACAAGGCATGTCCAGGGTTGCCTGAATATACTGTAACCTGCTATCAGACCTTTCCATAATCAGAATGTCAGCCTCTGAGATGGTAACTCAGAATGCTATGATGTCTACCTTACTCCTCCCACATAGGTGCTCAGGTCCCTGCATTAGTGAAATATCATTAACAAACCTTAGGCAAGGTGTTCTATGGAACAGGAAGTACCCAGTCTCCATCATGATGGCTGCAAGCCTGAGTAGCTGGGGTACAACAGTGGAACAATTGTTCTTCTTTTTAGGCGATGAAGCTTTAGTAGCTGACATCAATGTTCTCCAATTTCAGGCTGAAATGGGCAAATTGGGAAGCTCCCCAAGTATCTCAAACCATTATATCCCATATGAAGAAGTTCTATGATAACCTACCTCTAATGGCTTGCATAAGCAGGCAAGCGGGAGTTTACTGTCAGAGCTCCGGCTGAAATTACAGCGTACCTGACTTGACAGCCGGCTGAGGGCTGAATGGTACAAGTTCGCGGGCCTGTACTTTGAGACCCCTGGTTTACACAGTAGCAGAGGCTGGGCAGAAAAAAAAGGATACACAAGTATGTCAGCCTCACAGCCCACGTGTCTGGAGTTTTAGGTAAAAGGGAATCCTACTAACTATGAAAAACCTCTTTATGGGAAGCAGAAGACAGTTTGGGTTTTTTTAAAACTGTATTAGTTTAAATCTCCCCTCCCCCGAACTTCCCTAACACACAGATAATTATATCAGATCTCATATTCTGGCCAAACTTGCAAACTTTCTTTTGTTAACTCTGGACATTTTTTTTTCTGTCTCTCTTTATAAAAGAGCCTTTGTACTATTAGAGCCATCGACCTTTAATGCAAATGATAATCTAATTTGTATTTATTAACTCGTATGTCTTTGCTTTTCTCAGATATGGGTGAGGACAACAGCAGCAGCTGCTTGGAGGTAAGGCACTCAAATATGATGCTCATACAATACGTGGATGTATATTGAATCACCTGAATGTGAAACATATAGATTGATTTGGGTACTGCAGCCGGTGAGATGTCACAAAATTGTGATAATTTTAATCCTGATCTTCAAATTTAGGCCCCAGCGCTCTGGTCTCTGGAGAAATGTCATATAGGTCATTGTAACTTTCCATGCTTTTGCAGTTATTGTGATGTCCTCTCATCCTAATCCCGTGACCTCCTACCCAAATAACGTCTGCTTCCAGCAGCTGTCGGCTGTATGATATCAGACTCTGTAACAGAAACTGGTCAGTCTGCCAGGTTGGCGGGCAGAAAGAGGGCAGCCCTGCTGCAGAGTAAAATCCTTTCCTAGTACAGCCATTGCAATTAATTGCTGACTCTTATAACAGTGGTGGGAGGTGATTGGACTGCTTGCATGTATGGGAGACGTGGTGCTATACCAAGAGCGGGATGTCCCTGCTGGAGAAATCCTTTCCCATCTTCCTAATATGTTTACAGAGGGGAATATGGATATCAATTCACTTATATCCGAGGTCAATGAATGTATGTGTTTAATCCTTACATATACATCCTGTCTGTGTATGGTTTGTAACCTGTGAGCTTTTTCTTCACAGACTTCCTTTTCTAAGGGCATAGACCTTCACAAAAGAGTGCTCCAGTTTGTGGAAGAAAGAATGCAAACCACCATGGTAAGGCCCCTGTTAAGAATCCAACTACTACCCTGGAGGCTGGTGACAACACTTCTTCCCTAATTTGATGTCCAACCAAGCCACAGATCCCCTTCCCCAAATCTGCCAACCATTGGTATCGTCAACCATACTGTCATGAGTTCCTGTTCCCAGACCAGGGCTTCCTGCCTGTTCTGTTATATATGTTTGAAAATGATGTACAGAAGGCACTACTGCTATATATGCTCATGTACAGTATAGCTGTTTGTGTTACTGTTTGTGGCAGAAGAGCTGATAGTAGGGACAGTGAGGGTGCAGGGGATGCAGAGTAGATCTACACCCAGTTGTCCCTCTGCTTTGACTCTCAGACACCCGATATTAAGGTATCGGGTGTCTGAAAAAGGTTAACCCTTTCATTAATGAATGCCTCTGTAGTAAGGGCATCCATTAATGAATGTTAAAAGCTGATTCTCAGCAGTTAACAGCCCTCTAAAGCAGCAAATAACTCGTCACGTACAGTGTACGTGACAAGTCATTTGGTCTCTTTCTGGCTGGACGTACAGTGTACGTCTCCCGTCACGAAGGGGTTAAATCTATAAGCTTTAACATGTCAAAACTTGTATTTGTATCTGTTTTTATTAAAATAATCCCTGGTGAACCTTGAACATTGAGGTTCTAGTTCTGGCACTTCCTGTTATTGGATGACAACTGTCTACCAGTTGTGCTCCTGATGCAGTTAACAAACTCTGTGCTAACATACACTGAACTGGCATGGGCCACAATTGTCATTATCTTTATATCAATGACGCAGCTGAAAATGACTCCTAACTGCAGTTATAGTTTTAATCATGTTTTTGGGTGTAGGTCACTCTTATTATTTTATTATGAAATAGCTGAACTTTAAGGCAGACTTGATGAAGGCAGTCTGCTGCAAACCTAGCTTTGTGTGTTATAATGAAAAGAGGCCTTCACCTTTTATGTCTGCAGTTCAGGTAACAGCTTGCACGGCACAGCCTGGATAAAAGTGTTCAAAGTTGGTATCCATATAAATCTGTCACGAGAACCAACATTTTTTAACTAGAAAAAGATGCAGCTGGAATTTGTATTTCAGACATTACCTCTATGTGTATTTACTCTTGTTTTTACAAATGGGGACAGTTCTGTGACAATATAGAAGGCTGAAATTGAGCAAACCTAACAGAATCTGCATATCATGGAGAGGTGACAGTGTTCACACAGAGCTCTCCATTACCTGGCTCAGTCACCAGTTGGCATCTTTTCTCTCCCTGTCATAGTTTCTTGCTCTGTTCTGGATCTTACGGTTCTTGTGGCTCCTTTCATTCTGTCACAGAGACATGAGGCAAGAGTAATTTTTCAACACCACTGTAACCTAGGTTTAATAGACAACAGAAATCAAGCAAAGAGAGAGGAGCCCTGACCTGGGAACAGAAACTTGGAGTTTTAAATTTAACAAAAAGTTTGAGTTTTTTGTTTACAGCAGGTTTACAGAATGAGACTGATCTCTGTTCTTTCTTCATTACAGTGGACAGGAATATTGATAGGAGCCGCTGTGGCTCTGTTTATTATTGGAGTCGTTGTGTTCATCGTCTACAAGAGATATAGGCAGTCCAGTGAGTATATTTTCTGCATTATATGGTATTACTTTAAAAGAAACCATTCCAGAAATAAACATTGCTGCTTCTAATGTTAAAAATGCTAGTTACTAGGCTGTCATGATGGCCCTTGTGTCACTCACCTGAAAGAAATATGCAAAGGACTGCTGACATTACTTTGGTTTTCCCGATCTGCACCTTACGTTCCAGGTCATTGACTCAGAAAGTATTGAAGGTAGTGGGTCAGCATAATAAGAAAGCAGCTGGTATCCATAACAGAGTTAGGCAAACCTTGGCCCTCAAGGTATGGTAAAATTACAAATCCCATTATGCATCTGCTTCTGAGAGACATGCCCGGGGCTGTCTGAGTCTTGCAATACCTAATACCTGAAGTTAGTGGGCATTTGCTTCCCAGCAGTGCTGAAGTTCATATATATTTGCTCCCCTTGCACACAACAAAACAGGGAGAGCTCCCATTGCATTATGGTCCTGAGCAGAATAGCCAGGATGCTATGATGTACAATGGATGACTTCATGTGGCAACCCAGTGGTCTACTATGGTGCACTCAGGTGTTGGTAAATAGTAAGCTTGCTCTTTCTAATTGTGGTGTTTGTTATTGCTTCTTAGCTTGCATTCACTCCTGAGATCAGCGTGTTTCAGGCAATTTAGAAGCTATATTTGCTCATTTATCAGGAGCTCCCATTGAAGTTTATGGGACCACAAATGTTTGATTTTGCCCAAAAAAAGGTGCATGCACTTTTTTGAGCTTCAAGTGACAGGCAACACAATGTTTAGATGTAAATGGTGTACGGGCATGGGAATCTTCGTTCGCATTGTTGCACTTCAGGAAACACGGAACAAAACACTCGGATGTGAATAGGAGCTTAAAATACACAAGTGATATATTTTTTCATGCATAGTTTTGCAACTATTGGTGCCAATCACGAGTAAGAGCTCAGGTCCTGTAGTGTAAACTGGCAATCATTCATATTATCCATGTTGGGAGGTGTGTGCAGGGAATCTGGTACATGATTAGAAGGAGCTGTGACAACCCTTCCTTACCTCTACTCCATCCTAGAAAGCAGATGCACCATAGAAAAAGATTATTAATGACTATTCAGTGCAGTTTGTTTGTACTACATGAAGGAATGTGGTCAGAATGCTTACATAAGCAAATGTAGCACAAAACTGACTCTCAGCTTGTGGCTGCTGTGTCCATCAATCTGTAGGTCATGTGACCCTGAGCTCTTGTACAAAGAGCACTATAATCAGAAGTATTTGTACTGTCATAAAAAAAGAGCTTATCTGTGATACCTCCCTGCTACTGGGAGCAGTACATTTATAGTACATTGTGTGACTGATAAGATTACATAGTTTCTGAGGAAGCTCAATAAAATCACAGTCTTACCTATCAGGCGCTTCAACTTGTAGTAGCTATTAAACAGAATAATAACATACTATATTAAAAATGTGTCAGTCATTTATGAACAGAACCTGAAAACTAGCTCAGTCATGAAGGGGTTAATACAATGCACAAAGGGCATGAGTTTGTTTCCATTATCCGTTATGTATAGCCTCAGTTCTCCTGAGTAGTGTTATCATTCCTATAATAATGTAAGACCTGATTCACACCACTGCAGCTGCATTATCAAATTTCTATGCATTTTCTTTAATATCCTCCATGCATGATGATGCAACAAACAACAACAAAATAATAAGAAAAGTTTGGGAAAAGGACACCACTCCTATTCGTATGCCCAGACTCAATGGTCCCGTCCAAAAGCCGTGTGCTGGCCAACAGAGGCACGCCACAGGCGTCACCAGTAGTCCAATGTATGTAGAGTCTCACTCAACAAACTTTTTATATCACTCGGCTGTAGATCCTCAAATCATCTCTGAATTGGTGCTGCCACTGTCCTTCCTTCTGGAGGGTGGCTACTTTTGTTCCCCATGGTCCCTGTGTGTGTTGTAAAGTAGCCGCTGCTCCAAGATCACTCCTGTCATGGACTACAATCTCGCTTTTAATTTACTCATTTGTATTGAAGTCATAAAGCGCGAGTGAGGTTGGAGTTGTGGTTACTTTACAACACATACAAGGACCATGGGGAACAAACGTAGCCACCCTCCAGAAGGAAGGACAGTGTCGGCACCAATTCAGAGATGATTTGAGGATCTAGAGCCGAGTGATACACAAATAAGATGCATTTGTGTTAATAGTTAGTGTACTTGAATGCATTTTAAGGATTAACTCCTGGGTTTAGTGTCACTTTAAGGTATCTTATGAAGCTCTGGCTAATAGAGCCCCATTACTTTTATCAGTTAAATTCAGACCATTATGCCTTAAGCCAGCACTATGTGTGTGGTAGCTGTAAAGTGGTTGGGTTGTGCGAGAGTTTACTTGCAGTGATTTTACTGAACTGCTGAATAATGTTTCTCACAGCACTGTAACAAATGTCATAGAGGCATAAAGAGTCCCAACTAGACATTTAAAATGACACCCACAATACACTAAACCCTTAATTACTAAAATGATAGCATCTGCCTCTCTTACCTTCTTCCTCCTCAGCTTTGTTCATCACTAAATTGCAGGTGTGCTTTAGAATTACACAATGCAGGAGCTTGTCGTGTCCCATACAAAGTGCAGGCTTTATGTGGTAAATAAGGAGCTTTGTTGTGCTTCGTTGTATTATTGTACGTGGTCTTATGAAATTGGCACCTCTCTGCTCTGTTTTCCTATTTACAGAACAGCAGCAACCAGAGGTACCTCGTTACCGTTTTCGAAAGAGGGACAAAGTGATGTTTTATGGCCGGAAGATTATGAGAAAGGTGAGACTACTGTGTATAAAATAAAGTGCAGGAGTGTCACGTTTGGATAACATAACTCAATAAGGGGCCCTATTAGTCCTACTGCAGGCTGGCCAGAATACTGTTATGGAACATCTTAAGGCCCATTCACACTATGCTGGTCCATTGTGATACGTTTAATTCACATGATTTGGGTTAAAGTGACACTAAACTCAGGCATTACATTTTTAAACTGCATTCAAGTACCTTAACTATTAACAAAAATGTATCTTATTTGTGCATCACTCATCTCTAGATCCTCAAATCATCTCTATACTGGTGCTGACACTGTCCTTCTTTCTGTAGGGTGGCTACTTGTGTTCCCCATGGTTCCTGTGTGTGTTGTAAAGTAGTCACCACTCCAAGCTCACCCCTGTGATAGGCTATACCTTCAATACAAATTGGTAAACTAACCCAAAGATTGTAGCCCACCACAGGAGCGAGCTTGGAGCAGTGGCTACATTCCAACACACCCAAGGACCATGGGGAACAAAAGTTGCCACCCTCCAGAAGGAAGGGAGGAATGATTTAAGGATCTGTAACCAAGTGATACAGAAATAAGTAAAATTTGTATTAATAGTTAAACTTAAATGCAGTTTTAGGATTGAATTCCTGAGTTTAGTGTTGCTTTAAGGCAGGTCATTTATTTGAATGGGCTGCCATTGCATCAATAAGGTCTGAAAATTGCTCCTGCAGTATTTTTTTTTTAATGCCGTGCACCATGCATGATAGTGAGTAACTGTACATTGTGGTGGGCTGTATTGCAGGTGCATTGTGGAATTGCATTGGGGTGCCATTCTAAATTCAAAGGTGTGTTAGTGCAACATGCTGGTGCAAACAGGCTCTTAGCAATCAGCAGGACATAATCAGCATAAAAGAAAAAAAAAAAAGTGGAAAACAAAAACTAAAGTGAGGAAAGGAGTTTTAGAAAGGATTGGGACCTTATTTGGCCTTAGACTGGCTACAAGGAAGTATTATGTGGGGCAAAAAAGGCCAGTGCTGCATGTCTGATTTGATGGTAATTACGATGAAAGGCCAAATTATTTCCTGAAATATTTCAATAGAAACCTGTGCTAAACAGCAGTAAACTTAAATAAATTGATTTCTCAGACTGACAGACCATTGAACACTCAACATGAAAACTATTACATATGTTGCACAGGAATATTACATAACAAGCTGTGTTTCCTGCATGGTGATTAAATGGCAGGGCTGAACACCTAGAATGAGGCTTGGGTGGAACCCAGTAAGGAGGACACTTCTGGCTGTGGCTTATATCCCTGAGCTATGCTGTCTGGCAGCTGTTGCTCATTTTAAAAGGAACCTACCTTTACCAAAATATAGAAGTCATTGCTGACTTGTTTTTTTATTTTGCTTCCTCTATGGTAACTTGCATGTGCAAATCAGATGCCAGAAGACTTTATATGCAAATGTTTATTCTGAGTTAGTCACTCACTGGATAATTAAAGTGACATTACACCCTCAGATTTTTTGACATAAAACAATACTTTAATGTGTGCCTTACTGTAATCCATGGTAGTTTCCCTTCTCTTTGCAGCTCTTCCTTTTAAATCCTTATCTCTTCTCATGCTTGGGGAGAACTTCCCTTGGCAGCTGAGTGCCTCTTCCTGTAGTGCTGGCTCAGGTTGCAAACCTACACACAGACACCATGTATCCATTTCAGAGACAAGGCAGTCTGCTGCAAGACAGAAGTTCTGTCCAGCATGAGAACAGATACGGATTTAAAAGGAAGAGCAGCAAAGAGAAGGGAAACAACCATGGATTACAGTAAGGCGCACATTACAGTATTGGTTTATGTTAAAACATCTTAGGGTTTAATGTCACTTTAAGTCAATTTAAACCCAACTCCAGCCAAAGCTCTTTTAGATTTGGAGTAAGGAAGGTTATAATCTCTGTAAAGCTGTGGTTGCTGTGTGTTCGCCCATTTTGGAGATTGTCTCTTACTCATGTAGAACAGGAAGTAGGGAAAGATCTCCACACTTCCTGTATACAAGTATTTGCTTCTATAGGCAACAGTTGCTATTTTGGAGAGCACAGTTCTTTGAATATATGTGTATCATCAGAATCTTTTATGGAGAGGGTGCTCTGAGACGGTTTAAGAATTGGTCTGCTATACATAATCTCTTCATGTGTTTATCTGCTGCTGCTGCTTGGTGATAGTTATAGCTCACGCAGGAGTAATATTGACACTAAAAGCCTTTCATTGCACTGCTGGGATTTGGCTGACAGAGAAGTAAGTACTCTTCTTACTTTGACTTACAGAGTTCGGAAACACTATGCGATTTGCAGATTGTCCGACATGTTCTGCTTTATAATGTGCTTTCTGCACAACCGTAAATAAATGGAAATACATTTTAAAATCAACTGTGTCATAAAAATAAACTCCAAAATAGGTTTTCCTAAAAAAGAAGAAACAAAATACTTATCTTTCCCACTGCCCATGCTGCTGAAAACAATAATGAAAATAAATCAAAGTCTATAGAAACCAACACTTTCTGCAGTGTCGATCTCCTGCGTCCTGCAATGAGCTCAGTTGTTCCTGCCACTGACTGGCATGTCCTTTAGTAATGGCCGAGGTCCATTTTGTATCTGTGGCCAAGTCTGATCATATATCTTTGCTCCAGTTTGTATCTGTGCACTTGTATGTTTCTCTGTCTGACTTTTTTGAAATATTTCTTAAGCTGAACTCCAGGATAAATGTGCAGATGGAATACATATAGGCAGCACATGGCATAGTGGTTAGCACTTCTGCCTTGCAGCACTGGGGGTCCATGGTTCAAACTGTTCTCCCTATGCTTGTGGGGGTTTCCTCTGGGTACTCCAGTTTCCTCCCACACTCCAAAAACATGCCGGTAGGTTAATTGGCTCCTGTCTAAATAAGCCACTGATCACACACACACACACACACACACACACACACACACACGTGTATGTGAGATAGGGACCTTAGGTTGTAAGCTCCTTGAGGCCACAGACTAATGTGAATGTGCAGTATGTAAAGCACTGCATAAAATGTTGGAGCTATATAAATACATGTAATATATGGGTGCTGTTTTAACTGCCAAAGGCTTTTTATTTGTGTCTATACATTTCTGATATTTACACAGCTATGACACAGAGCACACCGTTGTCTGGCCTGGGAAAAGACCTTATTTTTCTCTTCAGTTTAGTTAAAAGTTACAGGTCTTGTCCCTCCCCCAGCCTGTGACTGGACAGTGAAGGTAGAAGCAGCTGGTCAATGAACTCATTGCTCTGTCACACTGCTCCGCATGCTCCTTGCACTGCAGCCAAACTGATTGGGTTCTTATGTTGCTTCTCCCTTGTGCAGTCTAAGCTCTGCTGAAAAGGACCTGCAAGAGGCGGAATCTATCAAATTCAGTTACTTACACCATTTAGATTTGAATAATACATTTAGGGACATATTATTAAATACAGAGTTGCATTAATTTGTCTCATTTATATCTGCCTGGAGTTCAGCTTTAGTATTCTGCCATTTCTTGTGTATGAAGCTGTTGCTGCCTTGTGGTTGACACAGGACGATTAAATGCTACGTATTATACTTTGCAGGTCACAACGCTGCCCAACACTTTGGTAGGGAATACAGTTTCAAGAACCAGAGTAAGAAAAAAAGTGAAAGTCTTCACACTAGCTAAAAGGTAAGTAGATGTGAAAATGAAACATTTTGTATGAAAATTACGCAATGCCTGTGAATTGTGATCAGACAAATTGATACAGATTACTGAATTTTACAACCTGATTCCTTGTCTCATTTATTTATTTGTTTTACTCCTTTTACACCTTTATTTTACTACATGTTTGTCTGTTATTGCTCAAGTAACTATGTCTTATAGATGATCATTTAGTTGATTTTTAAATTTGTTCTGGATTATAGCTATTATTGCGACAATTTAAACCCTCATTAATATTTGCAAATAGATAGGGGAATGTCACACTTTTAATGCTGTCACTGGTAACAACTTGTTTGAAATGGCAGAGAGAAATACTCCTTTCCACAGTGTGGAATAAGTGAAGTGTTGCTCTGTCACTGACTGAAGTACTGCGGAATCTCCATTGACATCAGTGACATCTCCCTCATCTTGCCAGTGAGAGAGTGACACTGGGGAAAAAAATGGTATTTCCCTTCCCTGCACATCGATCCTGATGCTGGTGAGTTGTCCAGGATGTGCAGTAATATTCTATACAAATTCATAAGGCTACCTCCTGAAATTTTCCAATCTCATGAATCTGTTCCGTTATTTTTTTGCAGATCAGGAATTGGTGTGATGCATTAAAGGAGAAGTCTTAGGAGAGTACAATATACTCTTCCCAATACTTAGAGCCAGCATGTTATAGCTGCAGCTCCTCACAAGACAGCTCTAAGTAATGGGAAAAGTATTTCTCATTCTATTTTCTCTATAGATTGAGATCTGGGCAATCATGTGACCACTGATCACTCAGTTCCTGGTCTACTCCCTGCAGAGAGCGGTGGCTGCCAGTCACTGGTCCCCGCAGGGATTCCCCCTTTCCTCTCTGTTCCTCTCGTGCTCACTGGAGGGTCAGACAGAGGAGAGGGGGTCACAGCTGAGTCTGGTCCTAGAGAGGTAGAGCCAGCTGTCAATAAGGCAGCTGGGTGGATCTCGACAATATTTTCAGGATCTTTCCTGGTTGCAGCGCGGTTCTGCTCTGTCAGCATATAGTAGCAGTAACCTCCTTTATGCTGACTTTGGATCACAGGAGTACATTATTGAATTAACCCATGTGGCCCAAAAGACTTAAAGCCAGAAACATACGGTTCTGCTTTAGTTCTCTTGTAAAGCGAAGCAAGGCCCCAGTTGTGATAGTAAGAGGAATCTTTAATGTGTACTATAATCCTGGGGAGGTATACTGCACTTTGAAAGATAATTTTAACATTTAAAGAGTCAATCCACCCTAAACAGACTATGACCACTTAAGGTGTGACCTGCCGTCTCCATTCAATCATATGGCATATTCATACTCCAAGTACAAATTCTCCATTGGGTTGAATGAAGAGTGTGTCGTGCATACACAGGCCCAGCAAAGAAGATTTTGACAAGATTGGTTTAGAGTAGACATAAGCACACTGGTCCCGGGGACAGTTATCATTAGAGGCATTTTTTGAGTGTAGCATACACTACACTGCCCATGCTCTAGACGGCATAATGTAAATGAAGACACTGGAGAAAACAACATTGGTATGTTTGAATAAGAATTTAATAACATTTATTGAATATTTCTAACTTGGACTTCCTTTGGGAAATGGTTAAATGAGTGAATTCTATAATAATATCACAATGTCCCGTGCAAAAACAAATATAATAAACAAATCCAATAAGCATGCAGCAAGTGCAGGATTGTGAAGAAAATACAATACAGTGTATCAATTTTTAAACAATGTTCCAAAATAGTATGAACCTATTCTTGACATCACATCAGTACATACAAAGTTAATAAACTCTTTCTGCGCATTCAATAAAGTGTTCTGTAATCCAGTGTCCACAGCCGAATAACAAAGACTGCAAATACACCAGCACACTAGGGGTTAATGCCGCTCTCTCTGTGCATCTTGTGCAGTTTTTCTTTTCAGTTCTCAATAAAGTTCGGTTCAGTAAAGTGTTCCATAATCCCCAACCAAATAAGAGAAAGTGCCAATACACCAGCACAATAGGAGTTAATGCCACTCTCTCTGTGTATCCTGTACAATTTTCTCTTCAGTCCTCCACCAACCTCTGTGAATCCACACACCCAGCAGGGGAAAAGGCTCACCTTAAGACCCCGTTGTTTGTCGCGCGGTTTCTGCGCGATATCGCTCTATGTAGTTTGTCTAATGCATTTCAATGGAGCTGTTCACATCTCACAGCTCAATGTTGCCTGTAGCTCGTCGCTCAAGCTTGCCACTCGTACATGACCCTCTTTTTGCCGGATGTCGCGCGATTCGGCCCCAATAGACTCAAATGGTGTCACGCAAAGTTATGCATTACCGGTGATATCACGCTACAGAAGGGTCACGTTTGCACAGCAATATCGAAGGAAAGAATGATGTCACATCAAGACCGCTGTTGATTGGTTACAGCCCAATGTAGCAGCATCCCTCCCATAAGTCGCGCTACGTAGCGCGATAAAATGTGCACTGTCACTCAATATCGCGCATTGTAGCTCAATGCCGCTCAGCACGGAATAGTGCGGAAAAACGTGCGATTCACCATGTCGCTCAGTGTGAACGGGGTCTCACATGAGACCCAAGTGAGAGGTCTATGCACGCAGGTCCCTTTAACTAGCGGTGGGACTTCTGCAATCAGGGATATACCACTCTTTTAATATATCCTCTCACCGCGGTCATATATCATGTATAAAAGAAAATAAATATACCATAGTGCATACCATACATAAACTAGTCAAGCGCTTTATTTAAAATGTTACTCACAAAAGTATTCCATGCATCAGCATTACAAGAAAGTTTGAAACGAATCCTGGCAGTCTCAATCTCCTCACACCTCCACGGCTCTGCTCACTCCAGCATCGGGTAGCTCCGCCCTACGTAGCTAAATGAGCAAGTTTAACTATTTATATCAGTAACTACTTTTCTGTATCACGGTTTCAGGATACTTCGTTTTAAGAAGGAATATCCAACCTTGCAGAAGAAAGAACCTCCCCCCTCTCTACTGGAAGCAGATCTCACAGAGTTTGATGTTAAAAATTCTCACTTGCCATCAGAAGTTCTTTACATGTTAAAGAATGTGCGGTAAGTGTCCATACGAGTTTTAAAAAAATGCTGCGGGAAGACTGTGTGGACTTTGCAGTAGTGCTGCTGAAAGACATCTTTGTGACATTTAAGACCAAAATGTCTTCTTTTCATCATTGGGGACATTGGGAAAATCGTGAATTGTATCTTTATAAATGTAAAGTGCAATTCAAGCCAAAACCTAACGTTTGCTTTGGATGGAGCATAGAGGGATTAAAACCACTGTCAGGTTTTTTTTGCTGTATGTGTCTCCATTTGGGAGATTCGCCACCTCTATATATCCTGGTGACCATTATCACTGAAAGAAAATCCCGAATTTTGTGTTGTCACCAGAACAGGAATAGATGGAAAATCTTCCAATGGAGACACTAGTTCTGGTGACCCTCTGACCAGCAGGAATTTCCCTTTTTGGAGGCATTTCCTTTCAATTCCTGTTGTGGCTATTAAACAGGAAGTGAAGGGAACTCTTCCCCAATGGCACAAAGATAGCAAAACAAAAAAGCTGACGGGTTATAACCCTCCCTTACTCTATCCAAAACAAAAAAAAGTTTTGGCTTCAGTTCTACTTTAACTGTAACTGTAATGCAGCTATGAAAACATCCATTGCCCATGTGTACTTAGCCTTAGTCTTAGAGAATCTTGGACATCGCCCACAGTCTTCTGGTAGCTATGGAGAGAGCTATAAATGTAATCCATTTGTTGCAATGGACAGTCTTATTAGCTTAAATAAAATACTAGCTTATTATAAAATATGTAATATATTCTTTATGTATTATATGTTTAAGTAAAATAATATTGACTTTATTTTCAAATATTTTAAGTCAGGTGAATATGAAATATTGTAAATACTTTAATATCTATCAGGTGATGGGTGCTTGTCTGGTATTCCAAAAGGTCAGATTGCTGGTTTACTTCTAAGCTGTGACTACAGACCTGAAACGGGGATTGTAGGTTACACAAACACACAAAGCTGAATCACTCGATCAGGCTCCCCCCCCCTTCTCCTCTTTAGGAAGGACATCACCATCTTCATTCTGCAAGAGTAGTCAGCGAGTGCAGAGCTAGTGCTGGGCTTTCTTATGAGACAGCCTGACATGTATTTGACACATCTTGAGAACATCCTGGAATAAATTACTTGCAAAATACAAATTTTATACAATTTTGTTTAACAGAAACATCAGATTATAAATACACACTACAAAAAATGTATATCTGATCCCAAACCACAGTAGTTTCTCCTGCAGTTATCTGTCTGGATTGTGTGTAAGAAACACTCCACTGTTCCAATCCACTGAAGGGCATGATGGGAGAATGGGTCACTGTAACTTTTAACTTTTTCCTAAATATAGGCCTCACTCTGCTCATCGACAGAGTAGAAGAGGCTGGGCACTGCTGATGCCACAGTTAGCACGGAGGGCAATGATCTAGAGAAGGATGCTTATTTGTGGGTTCA